CCTTCCGACCCTAAATCTATGAAACTATGAAACTATGGTTAGAGAGAATTTTTTTTATCTTTCTAAAAAGTGTTTAATAGTCATGACAGTCCATTAAACTGCTAGTTAGGCTCTTCATTCACCAATTTTAAACCGTTATCAAAGCTGTGTATTTTATTGCATTTTTTCACCTAAGGGCAAAACCACTTTGAAATCCCTGCCCCTACCTTTCCCTTCTCCCAGAAGAATCCTTTAATAAAGAATGGACTCGTTTAAACTTCAAACCCCTAGTAGACTTAGATACAATGTCATGACATTAATCTCTAGAAGTAAATTCTGCAACACTTCAGAATGGTCAGACAAGCTTGTGTGTGCACACTTATGTCAAGCATGGAGCCATCATGTACATGGCGCTTGTTGGAGAAAAATAACTCAGGATTCTGGTAGGAACTGGAGAGTAAGTGGAGAGAATAATTTACTCCACCGCACCAGTTTGACTTGTTGAAAAAAAAAGAGTAGCAGTTCTTTTGTTTAAGACACTTCAAGTGGAATTTAAGTGATTTTCAATTAAATTTTAAAATACAGTAATTTAAATTTCAAGCAAGTAAGTGATTTAATTAAACCCAGTGCTGTAATGGTTTTACTTACGTTGCTATTGTTATGAGGAACATATAACACGCCTTGAAAACCAAGTAGCCAGCATAGCATGCCCAAATGTTGGCAGTATGATGCATGAGAAACAGGGCACCTGCATTCACTGCAGAGAAGATCCCCAAGGCCAGTTCTCCTGAAAGATCCCAGTTTATTCTCATATATCCAACTGCCATGGATGTTGCTGAGCCTAAAGCAGAGTGAAAGTATAGAGCATGACAAGCAATGGTGTTCACATTGCTTTCAAATTAAGCTATACAATGTATAAATGCAAGCAATAGTTTTAAATTTATTAGTAATACCTTTTATGTATTTCTGTGATTTATGCTTATGCTAAGACTTCAATCAAGTTGTCACAAATTCTATGTTAATAAAGTTAGCTTGGGTTGTCTAAACAGCTTCCTAGGCATTTAAATAAAACAAACTGAAAAAAGGGCAAATTTGCCTTGTAGCTAACTGGTAACCTTAATCAACTGATTCCATCCTTTAAGCAACAGTAATATTCTGTATATTTTTAAGCTAATATTAAAATACTAGCTTATAACTATTCCATGTGTGACTAGCAAATTCAGGTTGCACAAAATTGGTTAATTTGCTAGATGTAACTGCCAATTGCTCACGTCTACTTAAAATAACTCAAACTAGCTGACCTAAATCATGGATTGTATCAAAATTTGGGGGGAGGTGAGCACGCTAGCAGGGAGGGAGAGATTGCAGAGGGATCTGGATAGGTTACAGGGGTGGGCTAACAGGAACAGGATGCGTTTTAATACGGACAAGTGCAGGGTGCTGCACTTGGGCAGTAGGAACCAGCAGCACACTTACACAATGGGGAACTCCCTACTTGAGAGCACGGAGGCAGAAAGAGATCTTGGAGTCATTATTGACTCCAAGATGAACATGGGCCGACAATGCGAGGTCATGGTTGGCAGGGCTAACCGGACCTTGTCGTGCATCCACAGGTGCATCTCGAGTAGAGCCAAGGAGGTGATCCTCCCCCTCTACGCGACGCTGGTCAGGCCACAGCTGGAGTATTGTGTCCAGTTCTGTGCGCCCCATTTCAAGAGGGATGTGGACAATATGGAGAGGGTCCAGAGGAGGGCCACCCGCATGATCCGGGGACAACAGGGCAGACCCTACAGTGAGAGACTGCGGGACCTGAACCTATTCAGCCTCCACAAGAGAAGGCTGAGGGGGGACCTGGTGACCGTCTATAAACTCACTAGGGGGGACCAGAAGGGTTTGGGGGAGACGCTGTTTCCCCTAGCGCCCGCTGGCATAACAAGGAGTAATGGGCACAAGTTGATGGAGAGGAGGTATAGATTGGACATCCGCAAAAACTACTTCACAGTTAGGGCGGCTAGGAGCTGGAACCAACTTCCAAGGGAAGTGGTGCTGGCCCCTACCCTGGGGGTCTTTAAGAAGAGGCTGGATGCCTACCTGGCTGGACTCATTTGAGTCCCGTTTCTCTTTTTGGGGTTTTTTTGTTGTTCTCCCGCCCTGGCGGGGGGTCGGGCTAGAAGATCTACTAGGTCCCTTCCGACCCTTAATCTATGAATCTATGAATCTATGAATATTTATTCCTAATTTAAAGAGGACTTCCCTTCACATATTGATGCTTAAGACTAGGCTGCAGATGGCCTTTTCTCTTTTTGTTACTGCTATTCCTAACCCATAAAAAATGGAGATATACTATATCCTGAGTGTGCACCTTGGGTTATTAAACACCTCTCTAGGGTTGCAGGCAGGAACAACATTTAGAATGCATTTGAGACTCTTCTTTCAGCTCGTCCTGTCTTTTTCATCCTTATATTCATCACCTGACACTTGAGATTGGGGAATGACTAGCTAGGCTGCAGTACAAAAAAGAATCACAGACTTATACAAGATTTAGGGTTGGAAGGGACCTCAGGAGGTCATTTAGTCCAACCCCCTGCCCGGACCAGGACCATTCCCAACTAGATCATCCCAGACAAGGCTTTGTCTACCCAGATCTTAAAACCCTCTAAGGATGGAGATTCCACCACCTCTCTGGGTAACCTGTTCCGGTGCTTTTCTACCCTCCTAGTGAGAGTTGTTTTTTCCTAATATATAACATAAACTTTGCCTGCTGCAGCTACGAGGCTATTGCTCTTTGTTCTGCCATCTGCCACCAGTGAAAACAGCCTAGCTCCATCCTTTTTGGAATCACCCTTCAGGTAGTTGAAGGCTGCAATTAAATCCCTCCTCTGTCTTCTCTTCTCCAGACTAAATAAGCCTGGTTTCCTCAACCTCTTTCCATAAGTCATGTGCCCCAGCACCCTAACCATTTTCATTGCCCTCCACTGGACCCCACACGTGGCCTCACCAGTGCAGAATGGAGTGGAATAATTACTTCCCTGGATCTGCTGGCAGTGTTCCTACTAATGCAGCCCAGTATGCTGTTAGCCTTCTTTGCAACAAGGGCACACTGCTGACTCACAGTCAGCTTATTGTCCACTGTAACCTCGAGGTCCTTCTCTGCAGAGCTGATGCTTAGCCAGTCAGTCTCCATCTTGTGGTTGTACATGGGATTGTTCTGTCCTAAGTGCAGGATTTTGCACCTGTCCTTATTGTATCTCACGAGATTTCTTTTGGTTCAATCCTCCAATTTGTTGAGGCCTCTCTGAATCCCAGCCTTACCACCATCACATCTACTACTCCCCACACTTGGTGTCATCCATGTACTTGCTGAGGGCACACTCAGTGCCATCTTCCAGGTCATTGATGAAGGAATTGAATAAAATAAACGCTAGGACCAACCCCTAGGGGACTTCACTTGATACTGGCTGCCGACTAGACAGAGAGCCATTGATTACGACCCTCTGAGCCTGACGATCCAGCCAGTTTTCTATCCACCTTGCAGCCCATTCAACCAACCCATACTTCCTTAGCTTGCTTGCGAGAATGTTGTGGGAGACTGTATCAAAAGCCTTGCTTATATTAAGATATGTCACATGCACTGCGCTCTCTGCATCCACAGAGCCAGTCATCTCATCATAGAAGGTAATCAGGTCAGTCAGGCATGACTTGTCCTTAGTGAATCCGTGCTGACTGTTCCTAATCACCTTCTTCTCCTCCAAGTGCTTAGAAATGGGTTCCGTGAGGGACTGAGGTGAGGCTGACCAATCTGTAGTTCCCCAAATCCTTCTCCTTCCATTTTGTAAAGATGGGCACTGTATTTGCCCTTTTCCAATCATCCAGGACCTCTCCCAATTGCCACAAATTTTTCAAAGAAAGACCTGCGGGTTTTAGTAGAACAAGGGACCAAACTTTCTGGCAGTTGTGCCACAAATTAGGTCTGTACCCTCCCTAAGTACCACTCTGATCCCTTTCTCCTGCCCAATCTGCTGTTCTGCTTTTTACTTCCTGATCTGCCATCTGCCATGCAGAGGGGTTGTCCATACATAGCACTTGTAGCATGTGTGGCACAGGTTGGCCACTCCTGCAGTAGACCATAAGCTGACTATGAGCCAACAGTGTGCTTGTCTAAAAAAAAAAAAAAAAAAGCCCAACAGTATGCAAAGGTATGTCAATAGGAGTGTCACTGGCAAATCGATGGAAGTGATTCTTTCACTTTATTCAGCATGAGGTCTTACCTGAAGTCCAGTTTTGGGCCCCACACTGCAAGAAAAATGGGGACAGTTTAGAAAGAGTCCAGTTCAGAGTAACAAAAATGATTAGAGCTCTCAGGGAGGGTGTGTGTGGGGAGGTATGACTTATGAGGACAGGCTAAAAGAGCTGAAGTTATTTAGTTTGGAAAAGATAACACAGAGGGGGGATTTGTTAACAGCCTTTAAGTACATGAAGGGTCATTAGAGAGGCTGGAAAGCAGCTTTTTCTCTGTAGCTGTAGGGGATAGGACTAAGCAGTGGATTTGAGCTACAGCAGAGGAAACTTTAGGTTGGAGATTAGGAGGAACTTTTTGACTATGAGGGTGGTCAGTCATTGGAACAGACTACTTAGAGATGTGGTGGTATTTACATCCCTGGCTATTTTCAAGAGCAGTTTAAATGGACATTTTGCTGGAATGGTTTAGTTGGGGATGATCCTACCTTGAGCAGGGGCCTGGACTAGGCTTACTGAGGTCCCTTCCAGACTTACTATCCTATGATCCTAAAGAGTCCACTTAAATATGAATTGAGGACAGCTATAGCTCAGATGCAGTCGTTCAGTGCTTTCTGTGATACTCTAGTCCTAACTCCAGCCAGATGGCAGGAAAACTGTCCCACCTGTGGTCACACAAACTTTGAAACCACTAGAGATGTTTCTGGAATTAAACTCAGAAAGAAAAAGGAGCATATTCTTGCCTTTTCTTTATGTCAAAAGAAAATGTTGTTTCAAGGAAAATTGGATATAACCCAATTATTTAATACTTCCAGTGAACAGTGTTCTTATAGACTGTCACCAATGAACCGTTGGTGTTTTGTGTGTGAGAGCATTTTGTGATTATGTTGTGTAAGTGGTATAACAGAAAGCCAAGGATCCATGAAAGTCCCTAGGAATTCTACTTTTGCTATTGATTTTTATGTGAAGTGGTTTTGTATAGTAGCCTAGAATCTGGGAACCAAAGGCTTAAAAGGGACTTAGAAACCTACGGTCAAAGTTGTAGAAATGTGAGCAGTAGTGAAGAGCACATCTTTCTGTAACTTTTATGTTTGAGGACTAGAGAGGACACCACCTGTGGTAGGAGCAGAAGTTAAACATAAACCTGTTAAAGTGATCAGAAACTTATTTAAACCTGCAACAGAACAGAAGTTCAGTGCACTTAAACTGCTTTCAAAATGTCTGAAACTGGTTTAAGATAAATCTAGTTAGATGTAGTGTCCGACTTAACTGACTTAGGTCAAATTGGTTTATGGAACTTCTGTACCTTTCCTTTCCTGGTTCAAGTTAACTCACAGTCCCCCAGCATCCCAGGATGCTTTGCAGCCCTAGGCTTTATCTGCTCAAGTGGAGCAGGGTCTGCCCCACACTGCTGCTCCCCAACTGGAACACTATTACTGTTCCAGCTGGCAGAGAAGGGGTTGGGGGGTAAAACCCCAGCACTTGACCCCAGCCTGGGTCTACCTGGTGGGAGGAGAGGAGGGGGAAGCCTGCAGAAGCTTCCCCCACCCAAGCTGGGAGTGGGGATGTGGCCAGAGGAAGCTCCTGACCCCAGACTGGCTGGGCCAGCTGAGTAGGGCAGGTGGGGAACCCTCCTAACCCCGGCCTGGAATCAGACCCCAGCCAAGGTCTGTTTGATGGAGGCTTCCCCTCCTTCCTTCAGCCAAGCTGAGAATGGGGGCCATGGCTAGGCGAATCACTCCAGGCAGGAGCAGGGAGTAAAGCCCCTGCTTTGGGCTCCCCCCACCTACACAGGGCAGCAACTGGCTGGGGGGTCTAATGGTGAGGTGCATTTTCTTCTCCCCATCCTAAATTCTAATATTAATTCTAGTAGCAAGTGGGGAGGAATCTCTTTTTTGCACCAGGGCTAGGGCTGGTGGGATCCTGCCAGGGACAGGGACCTGCCTCTGAAACTGGGGGACCCAGACAGCCCAGGCTAGAGGGACTGTTCCCCCATGGAGGGGTAGGGGGACTGCAAGGGTTTGTGGGTCTTGTGTTGGACAGCCAGTCAAGGATAAGCCCTGCTTGGCTGCATTCAGGTGACTTTGGAAGTGGCTTGAAGGCTGGGAGGTGCGCTCAAGTGCCCCTGGCTACAAATATGGGTCACTGCAGGGATCTGGCTGCCTTTTCAGTTTCACAAGGGAAAGTTTGTTTGCTTGCTTATTGGTTAAACTACACGGTTTAGAGAAACCTGCAAAGATTGAATCAATTCAGCCTGGGGCTTTTTGATTGCCTGTACTTAGCCCTGGAAAGGAAATCAAAGTGTTTTGAATGTTTTGTTCTCTAAGCTTTTTCTGGTGCATTGATTTAAATTAGAATTGTCTGCCTGTATTTGAGCTGCTGAACAAGATTGCAAATGCTTAGCTTTAAAAAAAATCCTTGCCAGTTTTGGTCCAGGCACTTGAATCAATTATGCAATGTATGTTCAGCTCCATGCTGTCTGGGAAAGTGTATACATGTGTGTCTAAGACAAAAGAAAAGACGTAAGAACAAGACCTGAAAGATGCAAGGTGGTGTCTGAATGTTCATTCGTCATGTGACTACAGTAGCTAAGCCCCTTAGCCATAATATACATGAAAACTTTTTGTATCTCTAACTCTCCTTAATCCTACTGATTTAGTGTGGTGGGACTTTTTGGCATGGTACAAATTTACAATGAATGACCACTAATCAACTATTAGCAAAACTTCAAGAAAGTTGTTTGAAAAAATCATGTTAAACTAGGGGTGTCAAACAAATGGTCCTTGGAGCCTTGTTATTTGGTCCCTGGTGCAGTCCCAGGTTTGAATTGATCTGGACCAGCTCTGCAGTCAGGACTTGGAATGAGCGCAGCATGTGGTCTATGTACTGGCTGTTCCAGCACATGGTGCCTATCCCAGGGTCTCCAGGATGTGTTTCACACAGTCTGAAGCACAGTCCTGGACCAGCTGCTGGGGCATTTACCTGAGACACTTCACATGTAGCACAGCACTCACTCCAGCCGGTCCAGGAGCTGTACTAAATGCAGTGCCTGCCCTGGCTACTCTGGGACTCCATCAACATGCAGGGTGGATGCTGGAGCAGCTGAAGAAGGCCCTTTTGGTGCTGAACCTGTAATGAAGGGGTGGGAATCTAGGGTCTGTTGCACTGTTGGCCCAGTCCAGCCCATGGACTAGCCCTGGATCACACATCTGGCCTGTGGGGCCATATGAGTTTGATTAACTATCCACAAAAACAAATGTGCTCTCCATGCTGTGGATGGGTACAATAATCATGCTATCTTTGATGCTACTGGTACTATTGCCTTAACAACCTTGGAGAATTCTTTTGAAATAGCCTTATAGGTAGCAATAGAAAATTAATTCGTGTAAGATGCAGGTGATATATTTTATAATCTGTTTTAGAAAGGTGAATCTATACAACTGTATTGTTTACTTACTCAGGAAAGTTGCTATTGCTTCCACAGCCCCATTGTATACTGCAGAGTTCTGGGAAGGTGCCCTGTGGTCCCATAACACCTGGACATAATTCAGGACCTGATAGAAGCCTGCAGTGGCTAACGCCCACCAGAGAGACCAGTAAAGAAGCCTCTTTGTGCCGTAGCACTCCTTCATGTCCTTGAACAATTGTACCAGCACTCTCAGCACGTGATTCTGTTGCTTAGCAGTGTTAGGGTGGCACTCAGGTGAGGTGCTGGGGTTTGCAGCTGACATGACAGAGTCTTTGTCATCTTGGTGACCAGGGTGCTTGTTAGTGCTGGATGCGTTTGGTGTTATCTCTTTGCCTGCTCTTTCTGAGACAGTATCTGAGAGCCCTTTTCTATGAAAGAACATGCTTTTTGGGGGCATTGGTAACAGAGGTGAGGTAAAAAATGCCAGGGAGACAGAAACCAAGCTTATAGTGCTTAGATAAAAATAGGATAAGCCTGCCAAGGACACCAACAGTTGTCCCAGCACTGCCCCAACTGTGGATGCAACTAGCGTGATGCTTCTGCAGTAGCTTGTTGCTTTCTGATAGTGGTCAGCACTAACAGTGCTATAAATGTAGGCATAATAAGCTATTTCTGTGGCTGTGAACATGCCGTAGAAAACTTCCATCAGCTGCATGGCTACCACTCCTTGTGCAAAAAGTAGCATCAGCCAAGTAATGAGAGAGCCAGCTCCTTGGAGAATAATGATGGGCTTATAGCGCATGTAGTCTGTGATCAGGAAAACTGGAACCAGCAGCACTAGGTAGGAGTATGTCCAAACTGGAAAAACATGATTTGTCACCTAGAAGAGGAAGGAAGGGATCCTGTGACTTTTTTTGGTAATGAAACTAGATAAATGTAGATTGTGCTCCCTGAGTTAGTGGGAGTGCTCCAGATATAAAATTACAAATAGTTTGCAACACAAAACTTGAAATGCATTACCTGCTATGTAAGAAAATGTGTAACACCTACAACTTAATAACCTGTAAATTTAGAATTTTCTTACACTGAATGAAAAAAAAGGAAAAGAAATAACATTTCTAGAAGACAGTCCTAATAAAATTACCAGACTAGGACAATGGCAATTCGTGCGGTAAATTTGATGCTGGAAGAATCCTGTACAGTTCACCTTCAAGATGCATGCACAAGAGTAACTGCAAGTCCTGGTAAGACCACAGCTTTAGTACACTGATTTTTGACAGCACTTTAATATGTAAGCATCGACTGTACTCTTCAGATTAGTTACAAGAACATTAGTTTTAAACTAGTGCCCGTAAAAGTTACTCTCAGGATCTCTTATTTTCTGGAAACTCAGGCCAAAGTTTATCCAACCAAATAATAATTATTTTTGTTATGTAGTTTAGAATTAAGGTATGCCCTAACACATACCATGCTAAATGTAAGATGTGTGTGCAACTTTTTAACATCCAAAAGTTAGCCCTGTGAAAAAATAGGGAGACGATGCAGCCCATTTTCAAAAACCTAAACTGAATGGAAATGCTGCCATACTTCACTTTCACACATGTTGAACTGTCAGGATTGACCAATCTATTTAACTATTTTTCCCCTTATTCAGAACTAGTCTCAGAGTAAGATTACACATTACAGTTAGACCATGTTAAGATCTCTTAAAACTTGAATACTTGCATATTAAGGCTTATTAACAAATACTAAGTACCATCTAGGTGTCTTGAATCCTTTTGGGCAAGGATTATCTTTGAGCTGTGCTACCTAGCTTGAGTTGCATTAACTTCTGGCTATTCACCTGGGAGAAAAAACATCAATTTGTAGTCCTCCAGTATCCCAGGCAGTACAGCTCCCAGGTGGGCTAGCTATGATCCAGGACTCTACAGCCCTTGACTATCAGCTGGGCTCAGCTGGGCAGCAAGTGAGCAGGGAGGGAGGAATGGGGAGAGTGGGAGGCTGCTGACCCCTCTGCTCCATTAATTGCTCCCCAACTCCTGGACCCTCTCTGCTGCCTGGATCCCTGCTCTGATACTCTGATTACCTCCTCTACCTCCTGATCATCCCATGTCCTCCAAATGGTAGCCCTGTTTGCTCCTGCAGCTCTGAACTATTTTCCTGTAACCCTAATCAGCCAGAGAGCATAGCAGTGGAGGTGGTAGGGGGGAGGAAGGGTTCCCCCACCCTGCCTGCTCCTAAGCTTCCTTGAAGCCCATGCTGCTGGGTGGGGGCAGGGGCAGGGCAGTGATCAAAGCATTGCTGGTTAGGGGGCCTTCCTTCCATCCTCCTCGCCTATACTGCAGCCAGAGAGCTGGCAAACGGGACAGGAATGAAGCAGACTTGCAGCCCCTAGTCACACCCCTGCTTGCCAGTCCTCTAGCAGTGGGTCTGAGCAGAGCATGTTAGAGAGGGTATTAACCCTTAGCGTGCCACTAATGTCGGTTTCAGTTTTGTGCTGGACTGCTGATTTGCTGTTGGCTTCTTTGTACCTCAGTTAGTCCAGCTTTCAGAAAGCTGTTAAGTATTCACTGCTTCACCAAAGCTAAATGTTCTTGTACTCTTTGGACACCATTAAAAATGGTGCAAAAGAATAGTGAACATTTTTTGAAAATTCATTTTAAATGTTTGACTAATATATAAAGTTGCTGACTGCCCTCTAACATCAGTAGTCTCTTAGGACTCTTACAGATTTTCTGTTCAAGGGTTTGGAACCTGAACAAGAAGAGAATGAGGTCTAGAACAGGCGTCCATAAGAGCTTATGGAGTTCTTTTGCCTTCAGTATGTTTGGTTTTGATTTAAATTGCTGAGATCAGAATCAAGGCTTCATAATCAAAGTATTTATGTCTATGTTTAAGAGAACAGTTCCTTTCATCTGGGAAGAGAAGAGGTAACTTGATATGTAAGTACAGAGCTATGGGTGCCTGATTCTGTTTTCATATACACTGTTGTAAATCCAGACTTTCTGTTCTCATCAGGTTCAATTTTATATTCAGGACTATCAGTTTCATATTTAAACATTTTTTTCCTCCTAATTTCTAATCATTTAGCATAGTGATTGTTGCACTTTCCATCAACAATGTTTTAACTTTTTTTTTTCTTTCAGAAATAGAATATGGTCAGTGAAGGGACACAGCTATGGTAAGACTGCAGTTTATGGTATACGTCCTTTGACATCATTGAGGAAAAGATCAACCACCAAAACACCTGCCAGATTGGACACCTCACAGTGGAGGAAATTCAAACCTTGACCACTATATTGACTGCTTCACAGAAAGAATGAACAATGAAATACTCAACAATACATGCCTCTATAACAACCTCTCCCTCTTAGAGAGATGGGCCATAGACTCTCTAAGATCTAATGACCCAAATAGTAATAAAGCCAGCAGATAAAGGAGGAGCTATAGTAGTTATCCTTAACTGTGATGACTACATAAAAGAAGCCAACAAACAACTCTCTGACACCAAATACTACAAAAAACCAGAGGAAGAACCTACACTAGGCCTGTGTGAGTTGGCAGCGATCTGATCCAGCTTCAGATCCGGCCGCTTCAGATGGTCGCGATCTGATCTGGAGCTCCAGACCAGGTTTCTGCCTCGATTCGGCTGAAGCGGCTCCGAAGCTTTGGAGCCACCCTGGAGACCTGGCCATAGGGTATAATGGGGGAATCAATGAAAGATCTATAACTGTTGTTTTTTGTCTGATTTAGATGAAACTTTCAGGGATGGTAGCCTCTTCTGAGAATATAAAATCTACCAAGTTTCAAGAAGATTGATTCCGGGGTTTGGGGGGAACTGTACCCCAAATTCTTGAAAGCCAAACTCATGTCACGGCTGTGTGTTACACTACAGGGGGTCAGAACTGCAGGGGTGGTAGCTCTTACTGAGGCCATGAAGCCTGCCAAGTTTCAAGAAGATTAGCGCAGGGGTTTGGTGGGAACTGCACCTCAAGCTGTAGACAAGCAAAACTCGTGCCATGGGTGACACTGCGTGTGTTCAGGCGCAGTGGGGTGACAGCTGCAGGGATGGTGGCCCCTGCTATGATGCCTACTGGCTATCGAGATCGGTGCAGGGGGGTCCTGGGGCCCTGCTGCCCTACCTGCTGACAGGCAAAACTCCTGCCAAGACTGTGTCTGTCTTGGGGCAGTTGATTGTATTG